AATCCCTCTTCAGTATGTTTCTTTATACCCCTTGTCTGTTCATCTGTTTGTAATTTGTTTATAAGTGTCTCTTTACATTGATACAACTGTTTCTGGTTGTTTATTATGCCATGTGACTGTTACCAGAATAGGAAGACATGCTCCTTGTGCTAATTATAAGTATGAAGAGAGAAAAATGTGTAGTAATTGTTGCGTCCTCCCAGTTTCAGATACACTTTGTTGCAGGTGTTCCTTGGATGCCGTTTTGATTTTGAACTAATGATGGATTTTGCATGTAAATGGCAAAAGTCAAGTTATAGATGGTTGCTTGCTTAAATGGACAAGGTTAAAGTCCAAAGAGTAATACTTTCCGGAAAGAGTGCTGTGTGTGTTTATGTTTCCTTCTGGAAAGAGAAGCTGTATCTTGGCTGGGGAGCATATGAAATATAATGATGAATGTACTTGTTTGTTGCCTGAAGTCTTTCACATTTCCTCGTTTCCTTGTCATTTCGCATTTTATTGTTGGCAGGCTGTTTCTTTTGATTGTAGCTATGGAAAGGAAGTTGCTTTCGTACCAAAAGTGAATATCCAAGTAACATGTACCACTTGTGTCTACAAAATGATACATGCTCGTTGAAATTTTCTCCTTTCCTTGTATGTTTTCATGATACTGTTTGAGTCCCATCTTTCTGTTGCAATTTATATATCTAAAAGGTTCGGTACCGTAGACAACTCTGGTTAGTTTACTAGTTCGGACTACTAAGATTCCTCTACGTATGAAAAGCAATCTGTCGGGGACCCGTCTGATGTGCGCCGCACAATCTTGATAAAGTCTCACCCACAGTCTCCACTGCTGATAGTCTCGATTTGGAATAGCTACTATTAGCATTAGTTAGAGGTGTCAAAATGGATGATTTGGACGAATTTGAATTGGTTAAAATGAATAATGGGTATAAATGAGTCAAACTATTTATTCCCATTTAATTAGATGGGTATAAATGGGCAAGTCAAAAAATTCTTGTTTGATTCTGTTGTTGTTTCTTTTGCAATGTCTTGTTTGTTAGGCATCTCCAACTTTACTTGATGAAAAGGTATTCTACTGACTTTACCCACGGTCATCTTCCATTACCCTTGGACAGCATTCCCGTCCCAAAAGAGGAGGTGGAAAAATTACTTAACCTCACTGCTCAATTCAAACTTTAGAAATTCGTGTTTTAGCATGTTGGTGATGACTCAAAATGGATCTTGTGCTGTGTCATAGAGGGTCTGACTTCATCCATCCCATAATTGCATGTTCATATAGGTCTACTCGTTACTTGATGTTCTTTTGTTTTGTGCATTTCACAGTTTTACGGCTTGACTCCACCCTAGAATTGCTGTGGCTATGTGATGTGATTGGTAAAAGATACATGGAAATGCCAAATTCAGAGTTTTCTGATCTCCTTATGTTTCATTTCGCAGATGAGGAATCAGATGCTTCTTCAAATCAGTCTGCTCAAGGAAGCTTTCTGAATCTATTACCTCGGCAATTAGAAGTTTCGAAACGGGGGGAACCATGAAAAATGACTAATCTGTGCATAACTTCAGATGACTCTAGCAATTGCCGGACAGGATTAAGTTAATTATGACCGAATAGCTTCTGTTACAGCTGTTTTCGTTTTTGTACACCCAAAGTGTAAGTATGCATGATGAAGGCGTTTTGGCGTTTGTTACAGTTTGCATTTGGATTGGCTCGGCTTTGATCGTGATCTGTGTAAATTATCTCCAGAAAGTATATATATATTCAATTCTTTTTGGATAGTTGCAAAATGTGCAAGTCTTCTGGTTTTTTTCTGGTGCCAAAACTGTAGAGAACTGATACAATAGCCTGTTCTTGTAATTACCTTTCTTGATACAGCTTTAGTCATAGCAATACCAATCTTTAAGTTTACAAAGCTTTGAATTTTGGGCTCTTATATCTGATTATTCTCTGACTCTAGCTTTCTCTTTCTGATTGGTTCATACCGGCGAAAACAATTCATCACAGGTTTCTGTTCAATTAATGGCTATGTAGCTTTCCTTCGTCTGCAACCATGGACAAAAATCTGCAGATGTACCATGTTCTACTCCACAGGATAAATTATGAATGGTGACAAATGTCTGTGAAGGCTCAAGAATTGGAAGATTTATCCTATTGTGTCATAATTACCCTTTTTTTTTCTTCCCTGCACCATGGAAGAGCGTTATGTTCTTTGTTCTTCCATTGTCTTATTGCTGCCTAGCTCATCAATTCAAGAATTGGTAGATGTTGAAGCAAGGGTCAATCAAGAATTGGTTTAGAGTTGAATACAATCCTGAAGAATTGAACTTTTCGAACAAATGCAATATATTTTCTTCACAATTTCAATATTTTTTGGATGAATTACCGTTACAATATGATACTCGAACTGATCAAATTCTTTGTTCTTCGTTAGTCAAATTTTGTTAAGATATTATTATAACTAACACTTAATTTTAACGTGATGATATTCACATTAATAACTCGCAAATATTCACATTGATGACCAAAAAATAGTGGGACGAACACTAAAATCTAGTGAAAATTGAACAAAAAATCTCTAATTTATGGCTAATAAAAAGAGTTGAGGAAAAGAAAAAAAATTCTCAAAAACTAGTATAAACCCGGCCCAAGGCCGAAGCAGCACTTTGGTCAATGCCATACTAGTAATCTACTAATCTCCGTTCTTCCCCATCTTTTTCTCTCTTTCTTCTTTTTTGGCTCTCCAAAACCCCCAAATCATGCAGGTAAAAAACCCTAAAATTTATAGATAATTTTTCGATACAACAAAATTACCGTTAGATTCGATTCCAAAATCCATTTCGTCTTCTCCGTCAGCTTATTTTCATGAATTATTATGCAAAATCGAATTTTAATAACCCTAAATCCTTTCCTCTAAACCCTTCCCCTAAAACCCTAATCTTCCAATATTTTCCAATTGCATTCAATTTAATGATTTTTGTTCCCGTATGGGTGCAGGCGAGCGACAGGTTTAATATAAACTCACAGTTAGAGCATTTGCAAGCTAAGTATGTGGGCACTGGCCACGCCGACTTGAACAGATTGTAAGTTTGCAATTCTCTCCCTTTTTTTTGACTGGATATGATTTATGATTTTTGGATTTGGTTTTAAATTTTGGAACTTTATAGTGAATGGGCAGTGAACGTTCAGCGGGATAGTTATGCATCGTATGTTGGGCACTACCCAATGCTAGCTTATTTTGCAATTGCAGAGAACGAATCAGTTGGTAGAGAACGCTATAATTTCATGCAGGTAAAGTTCTGCAATTTCAGAAAGATCGATTCTTGATCTATTTCTTTTTCTCTGGATCACTTGGTGTTGATTTTGTTCCGTATGCTGCTTTGTCATTCTAACATCTTATTTTTGCCCACTTTAGAGGTGTAATTTAATTGATAACTGTTTCAGGAAATAACCAAGTTGCTAGGTTTGCGGTTCTTTCTTTCCTTTTGTTCCCTGTCGTTTTAGTACGTAATATGTTGCTTCATGATTAATTAGGCCAGTTCATTTTGCCCTTTCTAAGCAAGGAGGGCGGTGCTTTTCTCTGTTGGGTTGCTTTACCTGTTTTTAGCTAGTAGTAAAGTGTCCCTTCTTGTTCGAAACATCAACTTTTCTCATGTTTTGTACTTAAAAATATGAGGTACATTGTGGGTAGTTGTGCAAGTTTGATAATACGACCTGGTGTTTAGTATAAAAGATGAAAAGAATGACAAAAATAAAAATCAAGCTAGCTGCTTTGAAATGATGAATGAAAGATCTAGTGGTAGCATCAAGTTGATGATTTCTTTTGAGTTTTTGATGTGCCTATCCGTTTCCTATATCCTATATCAAGCTGAATCACAGGTAATTAGAATTTTGTGAATATGGTCCACCTGTTATATTAAGGAAATGCTGGAGATGCAGGATTGCCACTTTGAAGGATTTAAAGTTACCTTATCTTGGAGAATTTTGTTTTTTCCTTGTCAGTTTTCGTGTGTGAAAAAATTTAATTGTTCTGTAGTACTCTTATTGTATTTCCTTAACTAAAACTAAGAGGACTGTTGGATTTGCTTCCCTGAATGTTGCAGAAAATGCTTTTGCCCTGTGGTCTCCCACCTGAGAGAGAAGATGATTGAGAATTGCAAAGTTCAGATTTTAGCATTGTCCTGCTGCATGTTTGGAAGCTGAGATACTATCTTTTGTTTATGATGTACTCAGTACAGCTTTAGGGATGTGATTTCTGTCACTGACAAGGGCATATGTATGATGTGTATCTTGAATTTTCATGGATGTTACTCTTAATGTAACCATTATAATTTGATGGGATACTTTGTTCTCCAATTGCCTTCTGGTTTCCAATGGCTGTGTTTGAGTCTTTTGGGTTTTATCTTTCATGTATGTTAGATTTTGTTCCAGGCAGCCACCTGATACAGCAGGAGAAATTTATGCCTTGATTAATTCGACTTTGGAGTTAGGGAGGTCATTGTCATCTGGATACTTATGGATACCAAATTAAGGATCTGAACCACCTAATCCGAGTTTTGGATGATCGGTAAGAAGGAAGAACATGAAATGGAAGAAACGCTTTCAGGTTTTAGTGTTTTTACCTCCATCAATGTCACATGGAGACATTGAGTTGGGAACAAATGCACCTGTTTGTATGTGTTTATTCTTTTTTGAGATTGTGGGATCCTTTTTGATAGTTGAACGTTGGAGAACCAGGGCATAATTAGTGGGGATAATTACTTGACGCACGATAAACATTGTGGCACATATGATCGGGAAAAATCACTTCTTGGGAGTTTTGCATTCCAATTTCCATTTCCATTTCCATTCAACTCTTTTTTTTTTTCAGTAAAAGCCAAGTTGGAATTGGGGATGGTTTTGGAAATAATAATTTCTTTATAAAAGCATGAAGAAATTTACTTGAAGACGGCTTACAATAATTAACGAATTCATTAACAATTGTGCCTCGTGTGTGGTATGACTGTCCTTGAAGGTTCTTAGGAAGCCCATGGGGGCATACTCGGAAACAGAAAGCCTGCTGGGGAGGAGCATAGCCTCGCTCCCGTCCTACTCTCCAATGAAGCTCCAGCTTAGGCGGTTCAGTGTTGATGAACACAGAGCAGAAAGCCGCGTACGTACTTTAAATCAAATCTTCAATCTGTGAATCGTGTAATAAATGTTAAAACGAGCATAAAAGTTGAATCTTTATTAGTCCAATATTTCACAAATATTCCAGCAAAATCCCATGAGTACTTGCTATCAAAAGTCTCTGAGGGCTTTCCTCGAACACGAATCAGTCATCAAGACAAAGCACCAAGCAAAAGAACTCCATGCACGACTCATCAGAACAATGGCGCCAGTATCAGCAATTCTCAACTCTAAGATCATCTCCATTTACTCGAACTTTAACCTTTTACAAGATTCTTTAACTCTTTTCAACACTATTGATTCACCACAGCCCACAAAGGCCTGGAAATCCATCATTAAATGCTATGCTTCAAGCGGGCTTTTCTTGAATTCCTTGACTTCTTTTAATGAAATGAGGTCTGTCGGAAGAATCCCAGATAGAAATGTGTTCCCTTCTGTGTTAAAATCTTGTGTGCAATTGAGGGATCTAAGGCTTGGTGAGAGTGTTCATGGCTGTGTTATGAGGCTTGGCTTGGATTGTGATCTTTATACTGGGAATGCATTGATGAATATGTATGCCAAGTTGCAGCTTCCAAAGGCCCAACAGCCGTTTGATGAATTTCCTGAAAGAAAGAAGCAGGTAGGTAGCTTTAGAAATAGTTGGATGGGAATTAATCATCCAGATGAGGTTAATGTACATTTAATAAGTGGAGTTGGGTTGAAAGATATGACTGAAAAGCCTATAGAGATGGAAGCTTTAGGAATGGATACAGTAAGGAAAGTTTTCCAAACGATGCCAATAAGAGATGTTGTTTCATGGAATACGATTATTCAGGGAAATGTTCATGGTGGGCGCTATAAGGAAGCTTTGGGAATGTTAAGAGAAATGGGAAATTCTGACTTGATGCCTGATTCATTTACTTTGTCTACTGTGCTTCCTATCTTTTCTAAGTATGTTGATCTCAAGAAGGGAAAGGAGATCCATGGCTTTGCAATTAGACATGGGTTCGATGGAGATGGTTTCATTGGGAGCAGTTTGATTGATATGTATGCAAATTGTACCAGGGTGGAGGATTCATATAAATTGTTTAGTTTGTTACCTCAGTGTGATGCTGTTTCTTGGAACTCAATTATAGCAGCATGTGTACAAAATGGTAGGTTTGATGAAGGCTTGGAACTGTTCAGGCAGATGTTGAGGGCTGATATTGAGCCTCTGGGACATTCATTTTCGATAATAATGCCGGCTTGTGCTCATTTGACAACCCTAACTTTGGGGAAGCAGCTTCATGCATACATAATTAGGACAGGGAATGTTGAGAATTTATATGTAGCTAGCTCACTGGTGGACATGTATGCTAAATGTGGGAACATAAAAAATGCTTGGTGGATTTTTGATAACATGGAAATACAAGATTCAGTTTCCTGGACAGCCATGATTATGGGGTATGCAATGCATGGGCATGCTCATGATGCCATCTCATTGTTTGAGGAAATGCAGATGGCAGGAGTGCAGTCTAATTCTGTGGTCTTTGTTGCTGTTTTGACTGCTTGTAGCCATGCTGGATTGGTCAATGAAGCTTGGAAATATTTCAGCACTATGACTCAAAATCATGGGATTGCTCCTGAACTGGAACATTATGCTGCGCTTGCTGATCTTCTTGGTCGAGCAGGAAGACTACAGGAAGCTTATGACTTCATCTCTAGCATGCATATAAAACCAACAGGGAGTGTTTGGTCTGCACTATTGTCTGCTTGCCGAGTTCACAGAAATTTTGAAATGGCTGATAAGGTGGCTAAAGAAATATTTAAGATTGATCCCGAGTACACAGGTGCTTATGCTCTTTTGTCAAATATGTATGGTGCTGCTGGAAGTTGGAAAGAGGCTCAAAAAATAAGAATCACCATGAGACGAAAAGGCATGAAGAAGAAACCAGCTTGCAGCTGGATTGAAGTTAAGAACAAAGTACATGCTTTTGTGGCAGGAGATAAATCTCACTCATTTTATGGTCAGATAAATGAGGCTCTGCAAGATATTTTAGAGCAAATAGAGAACGAAGGTTATGTGCCTGACACAAGTGAGGTTCCACATGATGTTGATGAAGAGCAAAAGAGGTATGCTGTGAGCACTCATAGTGAAAGGCTAGCAATAGCATTTGGTATTATTAGCTCTCCTGCTGGGACAACCATTCGCGTGACAAAGAATCTTCGTGTATGTGTGGACTGCCATACAGCAATAAAGTTCATATCAAGGACTATGGGCAGGGAGATTATTGTCAGAGACAACATTCGTTTTCATCATTTCAAGGATGGTAATTGTTCATGTGGAGATTATTGGTGAGAAACTGTGTGATGGCATCAATCATGTAGATACCAGAAGTTTGTGTTTGTTATATTGTCAGTTGACGATCAAATCTGGAGTATCCTTGGGTGATAGATGGTGCTTATATGTAATTAACCATTATCTAAAGGTGGAGTGCATCCTTTTCTGGTTAACGCTGAGATTCTATGACCCTAAAGTCTTAGATGAGGTTGAATGCTTTAGTGGTGAAGGTCAGGGCACCTTTATCTTTTGCATTCAAGTAAATCTATAGCTAAGACAGAGCAGAGATTTCTAGTTTGCCCAAGTTTTTGACAAACCCTTTTATTGCTTTGGTGGCTACTAGAAGGTGTTATGTATATATATCCAATCTCAAACCCTGGTAAGTGGGAAGGGAGTCAATCAACATGCCTGCTCAAACCTAATTTTATTTACTCATCAAACAGAAGTCTTCTGATAGCAATTATTGGAGAAACTTCTTCATATCATATTCTGGAGGGACATTTTTGGTACTATATCAGTATTGCTCATTAATGGATTTTTAGCTACTTGGATGTATATGCAAGGTGAGGGCAAAAGCTTTCACTATGAGGAGGTAAGCCCATTTATATCTGGCATACATGGTCTTATATAGCACTAGTAAGCATTTGTCTGAAGCTGAGTGTATTTGTGCTATCTGTGACTTGAATTTTGATTGTTTGTACAATTTGAGCTTAGATTGTTAATGACTGTTTTTTCATCTTCTACCTCAATTGGCGGGAAGTCTTTGTTGCATGTATATTGTGGCAAAGGATAATGTTTTATATATGACTGATGGATCATCCCGATAGTAATCATGTTGAAAGCTCCTGACTTTCTGGCTGTGATTTATTTGTGTAAACTAACGATGAATATTATTCAGAACTTACACCGATGGTAGGTTTTAGAAGTTACCTTTTTTTCTTTTGAGCATTGAAATAGATAGTAGTTTTTAAGAGTTACATGGGATTGATATGCACTGCGTTCTCATGAAAGAAGGCTTTGTCAGTTTTAATTACTGCATATTATGTTATCACAGTCTTTTTGAGGAGTTTAAGGGTAATATTATTGAACATCATCTGTGGAAGGTTGATAAATTATGCGGAGGTCAGACTTCTGAGATGTAAGTCCCGCCTTGTTTATGTCAACTCTTTGTTCCACTGACATTTCAGTTATGGGGCTGTCATTTCCACTTACTGGAAAATTCAGTGGAAAGAGTAAAATTTACCTATGTGTTGCTTCAATAAGACAGAAGATTCAACTCTCTAATCTAGAAATTTAAAAAGGATCCAGCTAGAAAATGCTACTAACTGGATGTATGAAGCTTTAGACTTTCACTTTGAGAATTGGATTCGTTAAATGAAATTGATCGGATAACAGATAGAGCTTGATTGGCTTCATAATACGGGTTCACTCAGAATTTCAATATTTGGTTTAGTTCGGATATTTTCTTAATTTATTTGGCAGTTCGCATAATGCTTAATGGATCTTGTGCATTGTTAATTAACTTTCATTTGGACAAGGATTTCATTCAGCGTTTGTTCATTTTCTTTTTCACTGGTGTGATTACAGAAAGTTCTGCTCCAGATTGAATCAGTAAAAAGAATTTCTAGCAGGTCAAGTGGGTAAATGAATTGATGACTAGCGGTCCTGCATGAGATCCCATTGTTATGGTCGTCTAGTGAATATTCTGGTGAAGATGTTCGAAGCTGGTATGTGGTGTCATACTCATGAGGCCAGAAAAGCATGTTCTACTGTGGATTGCTAATGTGGGGATGATTGTGACAACTTTACCAGTCTCAAACTCTCCTGGAAGACGTTCAGAATTGGTATATGGTTTCATATAACTTTTGTTCACGTATTGGAGAGCCAAATTTTCTCCTTCAACTGCTTTTTTTTGTGTTTCCAAATCAAGCATTATTCTGTTTCATTTCCATAATAATTGCTCTCATACTGTTAATATCTGCTGTTGTCCATTGTACAGTGAATTACCATTGCACTCGAGACATTTATATTGTCCGACTTGCTGATCATTTTAAACAGCCAGCAGGATGACTTTCAAGCAAAACCAACAACGAAATTCTTGGAGAAGAACCGTCGTAAAATGTTCAGAAAAAGATAAAAAAAAAAAAAAGAAGAAGAAGACGGTCTGCTACAAATCTGGAAGGCGAATGTAATTGAAGTTTCGATCTACTAGCATTGTAGCTGGATATATGTAGTTATATATGTTTATGCTCAGTATGTGTAGACTTTATGATGGATAAAGGACTTTCAACTTTGTTATGTCAATACATGGGGAAAGTGATGAATGATGTTCTCGTGTAGTTGCTCCAAGTTTAAGCTAGGTCATGATGGATTTCTGCCCTGTTTTCTATGCAAGCATATGAAGTGAATCCATCAAGCTAGCTATACTCTTCGAGCACAAGACAAATGTTCAAAATTTTCTCCATTTTAGGTGGATCTTGCTTCAGTTTCCATTGACCATAACCTTATATTTCTAGCTTTGGCCTTCATAATAAAGAGGTCCTGCACAAAGAAGAAAGTGAAGAAGGCAAGGGGCTAAGCAAACACTGATGATATATGCACCTCTTTAGCGTCAATGTTGTGTCCTATTTTAGTGGATATTCCAAAGAGAACCAGAAGAACAATAATTCTGCACAAAGGGATCTAATTGACTACATTAAGCTTGAATCAAGAAATGAACTGATTATTCTCGAGGTCACTTGGGTCACCTACTTTTCTTTTTTCCTGTCTGGTGGCATGTGAAAGCAACATCTCAGATATGGACATAGTTAAAGTCACCAAAAGGTGTTTCAGAGATTAATTCTCAGCCTAGATTAAGAGGAAAAGGGCAGAAAAAGAAAATATAGCAGTGAAAAAAAAAAGTTTCATTCTACATTGTAATCTTCAACTTCTCACCAAAATCTTGAAGTCTAGCCAGTGGTCTCCCTCCTCTAAGAAGGTTAGGCAGGCTGTGGAAGGTGAGACAAAAGTTGGCTCCTGGCAAGTCAGTGATCATCTTCAGTTTTATGTCTTTAGTTTTATTGTTTTCTTGCCAAACTGAGAAATGAAGACAATTGTTTAGTGGACTTGGTCCACAAGCTATGTCATGTTCTAAAGGTTTGATGATCTCTTCACCAGACAAAAAACAGTGTAGTAGTGTTCAATTTAATGGATCTTAGTGCCTAACAGAGCATCATTGGCTCATCAGGAGATGAGATTATGGTCCTCTTTTTTTTCTTTTTTCTTTTTTCTTTTTCATTTCAATTGTAGTATAATGAAAATAGGGAAAATGACCTGTTTCATCCCTTACATTTCGCAAAAATATTCTTTTCGTCCCTCACTTTTAAAATGAAGCAAATTCGTCCCTGACATTTAAAAATTAAAACTATTACATCCCTAAACCTAATTTTCAATCTGAATCAAACCACCAATCAACCTGATTACAAATTTTGGGGGTGTAATTAGTAGATCACTTGGTTAACTCAACTTGATATTCATGTAAAATTTAATGAACCTAAAAAGAAAAAATAAAAAATTATAACATAAAAAAGAAAGATTAATCTTTTCTACATTATCATTATATACACTGATGGTTTTATGTACCGCCATATCATTTTAATTTAAATTTAAACACCAAATTTTATATTTATGATACACATCTAGATTCGCAAGCAGATATACTAACGGTGCATGAAAAGATTTATCCAAAAAAAAAACTCTACTATTCCAAAACAAAGAATGGCCTTTTATGTTATAATTTTTATTTTTTTGGTTTAATAAATGTCATATGAATATGATGAAGTTGACTGAATGATCTATCAATTCTATTTTCAAAATTTATTACTGGGTTATTAGATGGTTTGATTCAGATTGAAAATTAGGTTCAGGGATGTAATAGTTTTAATTTTTAAATGTCAGGGACGAATTTGCTTCATTTTAAAAGTGAGGGACGAAAAGAATATTTTTGTGAAATGTAAGGGATGAAACAGGTCATTTTCCCATGAAAATATAATGAGGACAAAGAGAAGCACATTAGCCACAAACACAATTGCATTAGAAAAATCAAAGATAAATTCCAATAGTTCCAAAGCTTTTGGGCTTGTAAAGTGACTTAGAAGATGGAGTAGGAAAGGGAAGCTTGAAGAAAGGTCAAATCTCAAAAAATTGTAATTTAAAGTCTTTTAAAAGCCGAAGCGGTTATTTGTGATTTTCACGGAATCATGTAGATTTAGACTATTCTTAACTTGTTATTAATATATTTTTCAACCACTTTTTATTTCAAAACGTCAGATCGTTACAGTATATATTTATTTTTTGACAAAAATATCAAAAAATAGCAATCCAAACAGACTTTTTAATTTTCCTTGCAAAACTAACTAAAGAAGAGATGAAAGTTCTCTCTTACATGTGCGTTAAGTATCATTAACACGAAAGAGAAAAGGTTGGTTATCATGAAAGAGAAAAGGTTAAGTACAGTAATACAGGTTAATCATAATTTAACAGTGAAACAACCAAAAAATAAGAAAAGACTTTCATCATCTTTCCATCAACAAATTCTAGAAAAAAAAAAAGAAAGACTATTTTATAGGCACAGTGATATTAACTGCATGACAGCATTAAATATGAAGTATTGAATTTGAACCAAAACATTTGACAAAGTAACAAATGATTGTTCTACCCAAAAGAAATAAAGAAAGAGGAAACTGCTGTCCATTTAATCTCTCCCCTAACTCTTTAACCTAATTCCTGTCCTTTATTTACTGCCGCCACTAATGCTAGATGCTTAGAGAAACAATTAAATTTTAATAATGTCATTATAGTATTATACTCATTCTTGTCACTATGATCAAAAAAAAAAAAAAAACCTCTGTTTATCCTTTAATCCAATTCTTTAGTTATAATCCTAGAAGCACTGAAAATCTCTAAAAATGACTAATTGCTTCATCATTACATAAAGAAAAATTATCACAAGAGTGAAATTGAGCTAAATTTTCTGAAATACTATAATTGAATTCAACAAACATTGCCTATTGGCTATTTAAGTTTTCAAAACTTTTACAAATTCATGATTAGATACTATATTTTTGTATCACAATTAAGAAAATAACTAAGATATTAAAGAAGGGTGTAGATTATCGAAGAGTCAAAACAAATAATTAATTCAATTAGAAGTAAATAAAAAGCTCAACATTTATCCATGTTGGAAGGTAACAAGCTTTAATGTGCAAGAGTACTCTGATTTATACAATAATGGAAAGAGATTAGTTGGATTATGTAAGAAAACTATTTATTAATTTGACCATATATTTCTCTATTTAGAAAAAAATTAGAGCTAATTCTTGTAGTCATTTGAATAGTTTACAATTAAACAAATAAAAAAGCCAGTAATGTCCCAACAGCTCTTTATTCTTATTTCCATATGGTTTTACAGACCATCACAATCCACATTTCTAGTCCTCATCTCTTTTGTCTCAATCTCTTTCCCTTTCCTTCTTACACAGATCCCTCTCAGAATCTATTTTCTCCCCGTGGATTTCGTTTTCCTTAGATTCCTCCCTCCAGAATTAGACCTTCTTCTCATTTTCCTCACCTTCTATTTTCACTCAAATGTATATATGCGTTTAATTGTTCACTTGTTTCCCTTGTTGGATGCAAAACCAAACTGGATTTCTATTTAATGTACCTTCTTTGTTCCCTTTTTCTTTTCCCTGCATCCCAAGATGTAGATTTTAAAAGGGTCAATTTTAATTCGTTAATTTATTGAAAAAAAAACCATCTTTTTCAGAATTTATGTGAAAGAGTACATAAATTCTTGAATTCCCAAGCTCATATATCAAGACTTGATTTTGGGACTTGTTTGGTTTTTGGTTAATTTGTTTGTCTGCTGAGGAATTTTTTTTGAGGTGGGATTTTTGGATGGTTTTTTCTCTCTTTTCTTTTGATGGTGGATCTGAATATTGTCTAAATATTGGAGCTTTGGACGATCGATCGAAGGAAGTTTTGATGGTTAATATGTGGAATGTTGTATTCGGTTCAGCTTGAAATCAAGAAGGAAAATTTTTTGGGTTCCTTATTTTTTTGACCTCATTTTTACCCCTTAATATTGGCTCTGAAGGGTAGTTTTTCTTAGAAGGTTTAGTTATGGATCATGTGATTGGTGGAAAGTTTAAGCTTGGCAGGAAGATTGGCAGTGGATCATTTGGGGAGCTATATTTGGGTAATTTTAGCTCCTATGCTTTTCTATCTGAATAAATTTTTCTAGTTTATGTTGTCATGGTATTTTTATGCGTTCATGGGGTTTATTTGTATTTCAGGAGTAAACGTACAAACTGGAGAAGAAGTTGGTGTAAAACTTGTGAGTACTAAACCGTTGTTTTAATATTTACATTTAATTTATGCTGCGCTTAATTCTTTTTGGTATATATTTCTGATGATGAGTCTTCGGTAGTGAATAAAATGAATTGCTGATCTCCTCTCTGATTAGTTTTAGTTCGCCGGTCTAGTTGGTTTTTGAGCTTTTTGATATGTTTTTGTACAGATATGCCTTATGACCTATGGAGTTACAGGATTTTGGGCTTAGTAGGTTGGATTTTAAGTTCGATTTTTCAAATGGACTTGTCATTGACGATTCTTTTCTTAGCATGTAAATTAGGAGTTTTAGTTGCCTGATGTGGCCTAAATAAATCATTAGAGAGTTGAGTTTGAGCTGTTTGTTAACTATTGGTATCATCATTCCAGTTGACTGAATTTACTACTGTTGAAATGTAGCAGCATGTGCTTATCCTAGAAAGCTTGTTGAATTTTTTCCAGGAACCACTTAAAACTAAGCATCCTCAACTTCACTATGAATCAAAGTTGTATATGCTACTTCAGGGAGGAAGTGAGTACTGAATTGTTTCCCCCTGCTATTTTCTTTTCCCTTAAGTGCTTATATGGTAAAGATAAAGCTCTTTGCCAATTTTTCCTTTTTTTGCATGAAGCTGGGGTTCCCCATCTGAAATGGTTTGGCGTTGAAGGCGAATACAGTGCCATGGTCATCGACCTTCTTGGCCCAAGCTTAGAGGACTTATTTAACTACTGCAATCGAAAGTTCACATTGAAAACCGTTTTAATGCTTGCAGATCAGCTAGTGAGTGACTTACTTTGTCAGGAAAGTTTTGTTTCACTTGTAGCTACTCTACTTATGATATCTTGTTTACGCAGATTAATAGAGTTGAATACATGCATTCTAGAGGTTTTCTTCACCGTGATATCAAGCCTGACAACTTCTTAATGGGTTTAGGGCGCAAAGCAAATCAGGTTAGACCATTTTCAACCACTAGTTTCTGTGTTTTGTTTGTGTGAGTTTATTGCTTTCATGGACCTCATTCATGTGTTTCGTCATTCCTTGTGTATTTCTTTGTCTCATTAGAGGCTGATCTGGAGTTAAGCAAATGAGGTCATGTCTTACTTTTGGAGATACTGAGGTCT